TGGATACAGATTTTGAAGATATGGATCACACATACTTCGTTAGCCACATACAAAGCTGCCATTCACCTTGTTTTCTCAGCCTGCTTAGAAATATGAACTGCTTTACAGTAAAGTTGAGCTCTGAAGCAGTGCAGGATAATGCTATTTCAAGTTTTCTTAGATGTCAGCTTCATTTGTACAACTGTTTCAAGTCTTGCAATAAATCAGTCTTCATAGAGTCATAGAACCATAGAATGGTTTGGGTTGGAAGGGACCTTAGAGATCATCTCATTCCAACCTGCCTGCCATGGGCAGGGACACCTTCCACTAGACCAGGTCGCTCAGAGTCCCATCCAAGCTGGCCTTGAACACTCACAGGAATGGGGCATCCACAACTTCTCTGGACAATGTGTTCCACCACCTTCACAGTAATGAATTTCTTCCTAATACCTAATCTAAGCCTACCGTCTTTCAGTATGAAGCCATTCCCCCTTGTCCTGTCATTACACGCTCTTGCAAATAGTCTCTATCCAACTTTCTTTTGGGCTCCCTTCAGGTGCTGAAAGGCTGCAATTAGGTCTCTCTGGAGCCTTCTCTTTTCCAGGCTGAACAATCTCAATTCCCATAGCTTTCATTTCCATCTTCATGTTAGGTAGATAATTCCCAAGTTTTCCTGTAAGCTGCCATTGTTGCCATTACTGGTTGCTTTGCAAAGGGGCAGGGCAGCCAAAGTTTCGTGTCAGTGCTCTTTGGTGCAGTGCACTGAGTGGAGTGACAAAGGACCCTTCTAAAGTAACCACAAGTCAAAAGTATATCAGGACACCTCTAAATTCACCCAGACAGAAAAATGGCTTACACTGAGAGTAGCCAGACACTGGCACAAGTGCATAGAGATGTTGCTGCCTACCCCGTAGTTATCCAAAATTTGAGTGGACAAAGCCACAAGCAATCCAGTGTTGTCTTTGCCTGCTCTGAGCAGGGGATATGCCAGCTTTCAAAAGCTCGTTCCAACAAAACCAATCTGGTTATTATCTGGTGGTGAAAGCCTGCAAAATGCTGTGGACAGGAGTCTCCTAAAAGGTTTCCTTCAGAGAACAGGGGTGGCATCTGTTATGGAAGTTACCTTGATCTTGGCTATAAGTCTGCAAAGCCAATCTTTCTTACCCCGCCTTCTGACCTGTTGGTTAAGGGAGTGAACTTGCTCTGCAGCAAAGACCTTTCGTGTCATTCTTTTGGTATGGGTGATTCAAAACCAGAGAGAGATAAGGCACTCAAATCAGTTGTTGAGCAGCGTGCCTTTTTGCATCCAACTCTTTGAACCAGGAGATAAAGCAAAGCTTAAGCAATGTGGCAAAGTTTGTGGACCAATTCATTTCATCCATTTATCTTTTCACCTTTCTATCTCACTCTTCGATATCTTTCTCTTCTGCCCCATTTTCCATCAGACACTTGATTTAAACTCTTCTGACACTCCCCACAGCATTCCTGACTGTACCTGACTGTTGGCAACTGCCACTGAATCGTGGTAAGAAATGAAGCACACTTAGTGCTTACCACAACTATTTTGACCTTCTGTTGTTTTGGCAAATAGAACACCTCAGTGGAAATAAGGCTGTCTGGAAAATAAAGACAGAAAAGAATAAGGAAGGGAATCATGACAATGTTTAGAGATTTTAAATTTGGTTGGATACTCTTATTTCCTTTTTAGTGTCTGTGTTCCAGCCAGGCCTGCTCGCAGTACAACAGCGTTTGGCAAGGTCCACCAGAGCAGATCAAGCAGTGCCAGGGCACGGGCCCAAGAGCTGGAATTTGACCATCTATACCATTAAACTGTTAGCACAGGCTCTGCCTTGTGCTCGGTCTGGACTAGCTAATGCTGTCATAAACAATTCTCAGGCATGGCTTGGGGATTAGCAAGGGCCAGCAGCCATTCCCAATTGGCAGTTTGGATATAGCCACCTTGTTTTGGAGGGTAAAAGTGTATAATCCTGTGAATGTGGCCAGGCCATATCATTCGGCCTCAGAGCCATATAATAGGTCCTGGACCTGTTTTGTTTTCTAGTTACTGGAATGGCTTTGTGTTTGAGGCAAGTGTAATTGGTTTTACTTGACTCCACAGTTTCATACTTGACTGAGTTGTATCTGAACAATAAGGAGCACAAGTACATCTCGACTTTGTCTCTTTAGGCCAGCGTACCTGTGCACTGAGATGGTGTGGTCTGTCCCTGTTATAAATTGTCACAACAACTAGAATAGTTTGTGAACTCACTTTTCCATTACAAATACAAATACACAGTCTAAGGGGGTCTAGAAATATATCTTCTAGGGAGATTTTTCAGCTGGTTTTCAGAAATCTTTGTCATTATTTTGAATATGGGCCACCAATTGCTGGCAAATTCAGTTTCTGTATCAGAATCAGTATTTTCTGCAGATGTGTCTGGTGCCAGGAAATGATTTTTATATTTTCTGTTGTATCTGGAAGTAAGAAATTGTGTTAGATATTGGACAGATGTTAGCATACATCTGGTATGAAAGATCATGTTAGTCATTAAATGTTGAAGTAGAAACACCTCTCACCTACCTGCACAATTGGTTTTTCATTTACTAGCCCATCTATTTTCTTCTTTTCTTGCCACAGCAATGAATAGAAAATAATGCTACTTTCTACCAGTGAAGGCCCAATAAACCTGTGCTAGTTGCCAGGCCTGGGCAAATTCCAAGTGTGGTTATATCCTTTTGTCCTGCCCTGTTTTCACCTTTACGCTTCCGTTTCCATCTGCTTGAGGTACAGATATGTACTCATCTTGATTTTTTTTTGAGATGAATTATGGATCCTTTTATTAGTGGAATTTGCCTGATTCTGTGAGCAGAGAGCTCCAGACCACCTTGCTAGTGCATCCTACTAGCCCTGCAAGAAGAGAAACCTGAGATTTTGGTTTACCTTCAGCATTTTAGTCATCATATGAACCAAAATTAGTGTTTCCACATGTGGCTGTCTCAGACCACACACTCCCTCTTGCACAGCCACAACCTGGGCAAGCAAAATTAAAGTAGCATGATTAATATGTGTCCTCATGTGAGGTGGACTGGGCCTTGATTTTTTGCCAGTGCTGACAAATTTGGAGACTTTTCAGTACCAGATATTTTATCTGAAGTATTTCTTGAAAGATATGTCTGCTGCTGCATTTATGATGGCACCTAGATAGAAATCCATGACTATATGTTATATTTGTGATAGTTCCCCTCAGAAGAGGCTATAGAAACAAAGATTAGTGCACCTCACCTGTGGTGTTATGTCTCGAAGACCTCTGGGGACTAACTTTCTTCATCCCCTCAACCATAAAATCTGCCAAATCTACCTTTGTAGAGGAACAGTTCACGAGTCTATTTGAGAACATCTGAGGGGTTAATAGTGGGATGTTTTGCCACACAGGTTCAGTCAAATATAACACTGTTAGCCCCGGGTGGTCATTCAGTGCAGTTGGAAATGAGCTTCTGTTTCTCAGCTCTTTTCCCTTTGTGTTTCTGCTTCATTGTGTTTTGTGCCCTGGCTGTTTTCCTTTCCTTTGGAGGTGAGTATTCCTGGACAGAATGAAAGTACATAGATGCATGAAGTGTGTACCACTGCTGAAAGCTTTTTACAAGAGCTACAGAGAAAGAAAGGAAGGAAGAAGTGCAGTCGCAAGAAGCAAATCTAAATAAGCTCCCACTCCACCTTTTTCAATTTACTGGAGGAAATATCTTTATTCATATCATTTGACTTTTTGATTGTTAGATCAAATTGAGCCAGTTGGAATGAGCCTTGATGATCAGAACACAAGTTCTGAAAACCTCTGTTTAGCTGCTGGTCTCTGTGCAATTGGTTTCCTTAAATTTGCTGTAATAACCTTTTAAGAGTCGTGTACCCATTCTTCACTGAGGACCCTGCTGTGCATTGTGATTATGTTCTCTGTTGCCTCCCTGAATATTTAACATGATCAAAGTGTTGTGTTGTGGGACTTAGTTTTGGGGGAAGTTTTTCTTTTTGTCTAGGTCAGTCCTGTGTCCCCAGTCTCCTCCAAGCTTTTAATTCCAAAATATGAAGTTGTGTTGCTTGTTATCTATTACTCCCTGGATCTCGGTTCTCCTTTACTTCTTCTCTACCCTTTCCTCTTTGAAGTATCTGCTTAGTAAAGTATTGAGCAAGCATGCTGAGTACCTCTGATAATTAGGCAATTTGAATTTGGGGATGGATGCTGGATGTTAAGTCATGGGATGGACACTGGTTGTGTTGGAAGGCAAGGTATTCTGTCTCTGGGTAGGAAGGAGTTGAAATGCCCTTTCTATCAGTGCAACTCACCAGTGAGCCAAGGGGAGAGCGTTGAAAAGAAACACGATTGCGTGGCCTTGTCCGCCCTCTTTTCCAGGGAAAGCAGCAGATGTTGGCAGTGAATATAGTGAAGTGCAAATGAGTAAAATAATGAACTGAAGTGATAGTTTAATGGAATTATTAATGGGATTTGTGTTCAAATAGTGAACAAGGATTGATTTTTATTAACATAGGTTTTAAACATGTAAACTTATGCAAAAGATTATACCCCACTCACTTTCCTTTCTCTAGAAGAGTGTTTATAGAGTACACTGTTTGTGCAGGGTTCTCCAAACTTCTTTAAATATTGCCCTTTCTCTCACTTATCTCCTGGTTCTTCTCAATGTGTAGCTCTTCATCTAAATCTGCATAATACACCCAGAGATTTAACTGAACGATGAGGAAACCTTGGAAGTAAAACTGAAGTAGTAGGTGTTCAGTGGGAGTTTGGTGTTTGCTTGTTCATTCTCACCAGAATAAAAGATGGCAACATGACAGATAGCTCAAAATGCTAAAGTGCAGTTCTCCAGAAGCTGCGAGGCCTTTGCTAGAAGGGGCTCTATATGTACAAAGTGGTGGTGAAGACGTCATAATTACGAGCTGACATTTAAAGAAATGTCAGAAGCATTCAAACACCCCCCTACTCAGCTTCCACCCATGTATCTTTTTGTGTCCCCGATCCTGCCATCTGTTATCCCAAGGACTCGGGTTTTGATTACCTTTTTGTTTGCTTTTCTGATAAGTGTTTTGTTTATCCTCTGTGCCTGGCATGTGCTTCCAGAGGTGTTTTGGAAGCCCCTTGCTCTCTTTGTATGTGGTTTTCTCCTGAAGAACTATTTACCACCACGACACTGGCAAAAACTAATCCTCTGGCTATGGCTGGACTGTGAGTATTTCTGAATGCATCGGTATTTAGGAACAGACTTTGCCAAATAGCTGTTTGGAGTGTGTGTGCAGAAACACATGGTATTACTCAATGTTGTTACCTGTCATCTACTTGCTTGCTTCTTGTGTTATTTTCTTCACACATCGTTCTCTTGTCCTTTTTGGATGTGAGCTCCTCAGGGCAAGTACTAGACCATTCTTGGCATTTGGGAAGTTCTTTGTTTCATTTAATAGATTTTTATTACTACATGTCTTTTGAAAATCAAAGGAAAATGCTATATTGCCTTTCTGCCCTGGTACTGCAAGGTCTGTGCAAAGTTCATTGGTGACTATTAAAAAGCATTTTTTTCCAAAGCAGCTGCCATAGTTCACTGATATTAGTGATAATATTAAAGTGTGTGTTAGGCTGCTAATCCTGATTTAGCCTGCAAAAGATGAGAACAGTCATGGTAGGTGAGACTATGCATTCATACAGCTCAATACTCTGGGTGGAGATGGACATTGCAGGTACACTGAATGCATCCTTGCCTGTCATGTGCTGCCTGCAGTCTGCATCTTGGGGATTTCATTAACCACATGTTGTATCTTCCTCCCTCTGCCATGTGGTACAACATGAAGCATATGCTTGCCTTCAAGCAGGCAAGTAGCCCCATTGAACTCAGGATGGCTATTCTCATCCCTACTGCTTAGTAGGGTTTTAATCATTTAGATGGATTGGTAATTTCTTAGGGAGAGATATCTATGGCAGATAGCTGCTGGTGAGCAAAACAAAAGGATCTGAAGTGTGATTGAGTCTGCCTGATTCTTAAAATCTGTTTTCATAAGGGAGAACGAGTTCCTCAGGCACATTTCAGGATCTGGAGGCATGAACAAGAGGGACAGGACTCAGTCGTGTCTGTTCATCTTGTATTCCCTGGCCCAAATGACCAAGTGATTTCTTAGGTAGAGGAGGGAGAGCTTGCTAAGCAAACCTTGACTTGCTACTTGGAAGACACAGTTTGACACTTTCCTAAATACTGGCATTTTGACAACCAAGCTGTGTCAGGGAAGAAGAAGGTTGGATATTAGGAAAGGTTCTTCACCCAGAGGGTGGTTGGGCATTGGAACAGGCTCTCCAGGGCAGTGGTCACAGCACCAAGCCTGACAGAGTTCAAGAAGTGTTTGGACAATGCTCTTGGGCACATGGTGTGACTCTTGGGGTGTCCTGCATGGGGCAGGGAGTTGCACTCAATGATCCTTGTGGATTCCTTCCAACTCAGGATATATGATTCTGTGACCATAAATGTGCATGTAAATTATGTCTGATGATTTTGTAGAGTTAGATGGATGCAAGATTGAGGTCAGAGACACAGTCATATAGGAAGACTAATCTCTGATGGCTGTGATTTCTATTTCTGAAAAAAATTGCTGAGTATGTGATTTTTTATTGTAGAATCACGTTAGTCCAGGGGTAGAAAATATTGGATAAAATATATTGTACCCATAATTCATATTAATGGAAATTCAATAATGGCAACCTGTCATCCAAAGAGATTAGAAAGGAGTCCAAATGTTGTGCTATAAAAACATTAAAAAGGCATTATGAATTACAATCTATTGCACCATGTTTTGCTCGTTATAAATAATGGAGGGAAAAACTAGTCCTTGGAAGTTTTTGGATTGTCCGTTTTGAGAGAAGCCAGCAATTACTTTGTAGAGCTGACTGTGCACCATTGATCTGACTTATGGATTTCATAAATGTAGTGGTCTGCTAATTTAATAAACTTGCTCAATCTGTTTTTAAACAGAGTATAGAACTTTGAAAAATGATTTCCTTTCAAACTAAAATTAACTCTTATGGCTTTTAAATATTAGACTCAGATATTATTTCATTAAAATACCTTCTGGTTTCACATTTTTCCTGGGATGGGCTAGACGCTTGCGGCTCATGTTTTATTATATTAAATACTCATATTTCACTTATGCTAATTTGGCATCCAGTTATGAATTTGAGTTCTTAGGCAAACCTTTATTTGGTTTTACATTGTCAGTAAAGCTTGCAGCTGCTTACAAAGTTTGCCACTGCCAAAAGCTTAGTTATATACATGTTCAGTAAAGTAGAACTTGCTGTATATTGAACAGAATATTGATAGGCTAGATGTGATGTCTAAGTTGTTTGTATGTAAAGCTGCAAGTTTTAGGGTAAAACTCACAGTGTTCATAATAAATTTGCAGCAAACTGAGTAAAGGAAGATTTCCTTCTCAATTTAATGTGTACATTCAAGCATGAGGTGTGATTTTTTTCAGTCTCTGTTTTAGCTGTTGTAACCACGGTAAGCCATAAACCAGATCAAGCTGCTCTTGCAATCTAGCTGCTTTTATCAATCTAAAATCTACCTGTTGGACGTTAAGTATAAAGAGGTCAAATGGTGTGATGGTGAAGTATATCAACTGAGTTTCAGGATTTGGTGATAGGATATCCATTAATGTCCAGGGAATCTTGTAATCTGAATTCTTTCCCCCTTCATCTGGAGACATAACGACTGTGTTGGAGCATAGAGTGTAACTAAAGACCAAAGTCTTCCATGTTAAATTCTGAACTTTATACAGTCTAGATCCATTCTTCTTTCCCTACACCAGTCTATGTAAAATGTATGGTTTCCTGAATTAGCATTGACAGGGTAACTGAAGGATCTTTGGTCAGGTGCCAGGTTTAATTCATTTGTTATCAAGACCGAGAAGTGAATGTGACAGTGACAGCACTAATTATCTTCTTCTGTAAAGAAATGCAATACAAGCTTACATTTTGGTTAAAGGGGGGATAAGGAAGAGTAAGGCAATTATACCTATCATACGCTTTTGGCCTGGTTTTTTTATCAGTCTTGACAAGCTTAAAAAGTCTGATGGTGCATCCTGGCCAAGGAACACCTAAATTCAAATAAAATAACTTTCAACTGATGCCATATTTATACTGCAGACTGATAAATTCCTTTTTCAGAAATCAACTCTGTTGAATTTTTTAATAAAGTTAATAGGCTAGGACAGACAGTAGTGGGTTGCTGTCTGCTTAGTGTATTCTGGATACAAAATGAAATTCCCTCAGTCTTATTTAATATTACAGATTTGGGGTTTCAGAGGAAGAAAATGAAAATCAATGGCATTTACAACACAACACAATATTGGAGCAGCAGGATTCAGGGAAAGTAGACTGTCCTTGAGGACTCCCACTAATTATATTTTTTAACTTCCACCTCCTGCAGATACAGGACTAATATTATTTACTTTCCTTTATTCTGGCTCGGTTGGATTCCTTGAACAGCTCTTATGAGCTATTTGAACAGGGACACCTTTGAAATTCCTGCCTAGGCAGAGGTCCAGTTTTTGCTGATAGTCAGACAATTCTGGGATGTTTCCATCCTGAAAGGTCTTTTGAAGAGTCTGAGAAGTGAGTGGGCACAAACATGAGTGTTATGAAAAACTGACCTGAGGAAGGAACCTTCTACTTGATGTAGGGCCATGGTCACATAATTTTAGATACTAATCTATCTGGACATTTAGATACTGTTACAGACTTTGGAGCCTTGCTTTGGAAAAGGCTTGTCTAAAACTAAATGGAGATGCTTCAGGAGAAGTGTCTGCAAAAGTACAAGCTTGCAGCAAGTATTTTGATTTGTCCTTATAGGGGGAAATATAATGAAATCAGGCCAGTGGCAAAGCATGAGTGCTCCATGCTGTGGTTGGCTACCGAAGCTGAGCTTGTCAGTCCTTGAGAGGTTGAGAAGTCGAGAAGTCAGCTGAGAAATTGACAGTGTCATCAAGACCAAGTCCTGAAGGCCTGGCCAAGAGGATTTGTCTGTCACCTGAAAGACTGAGCTCGTGGACTGTGTCTCGTGGTGGGAACGAACAGACTCGGCAGTATTTCCCTGGAAAAAGCGATCTTCCTGAAGACAGCAATCCCTCTGCTGCTCATTGGGCCATTTGGCACATCTACATCCTCTCCTGATCCTGACAAAATGTCACTTCTCTCTGCTCAGTTTTCTACTGACTCATCCACCTTTTCAGTTGTATTTGTGTTCTTCTTAATGAAAAATAAAAAAAAAAAAAAGAAGAAAATAGAAAAAGCTGTTTCTTTTTAATGAAATTTCTTGTATGAGGACAGCAAATCTCAAATTGTTTCATTGATCTTCTTTGTTTTGTTTTATTACTTAAACATTAAAAATGAAATAGATAAGACATAAATGAACTGGCTCATCCGTTGTTTCTTTCCTGCTCTTGGAAGGCTTTAGTTTTTGTGCTTGCTACACAGATTTGTCATATGTAATGCACTTTTTTTTTGCTTTTTATCCATTTCCATGTCTTTCCATCTATTTTTACCTCCAACCGTGTTGGGTACTTGGAAGCTCTGTATTGCATTCCTGGAAACAAGCTAGCAAAAGAGGCATAAAGAGAAGTTTAGGGAAACATAGAGCCTAATACTGTTTCACTTGGCAGCTTCTGTTGAATCATGGAAGCTTTGATTCACCTTGTATATCTTTCTCCATCCAAATGTTAAACATCTATTTATGGCTGGCTTGTAGCCTCTCTTTTCATTCAGCAGAGAGGACCAGCACTCTCCAAAAGATGATTTTTTCTCACCCTACAAAAGGTGGTTTGAAGGTCTCCTTTGGCATCCTTTTCTGTTCCCATTGAATACACAGGGACTCTGTAGATCACTTTTGGATATCTGATATTGAAACAAAGCCTGTCCTCACATTCTGTATCATTTTATCCATCTGTGTCAGCAAAAGCTATATAAGTACTTAAAGATGTAAATGTGAAATGAATGCATGTTCTGCAAATGGTTATTGATACTGTAATTATTAATATCATTATTATCCACCTGCTGAGGGGAAAAAAAAATCACATCTTACTTATGCTGAATCATTTGAGTGCCAGAAACTTTGCCCAATGTTTCCCTGCATACATTTATTTCCCGTTTTTATTTTGCTTTTCCTTTTGCTGTTCTTCATTAATGCAAATTTTTCTCATTTGTGATGCTGGTAGGAAGCAGTTGGCCCATTACACATGGCTTAGTCATAAACAAGGTATTTACTCTTTCTTATGAATAGAAAAGTGTCAGGAAATTTCATTCTGGGTTGTCGGTGACATTATCATACTGGAGTTGGCTGTTAGAAAATTATTTTCTCTACAGAGACAGCACTCAACCTCAAGATTTTAAGGTAAATCCACACAAAGAGAGCAGTTTGCCATCTCTGATCAAATTGCTCTTTTTCAGTTTTGTGGGAATACTATAAAGGAAAGTGATTTAGAATCTGTGGAGGCCGTGGGGAAGCTGGAAAAGGAATACAACGAACAATGGAGTTTTGAGGCTATTGAGGAGACGGGACACTGTTTTCAAACTGAGTAGGGACAAAAATTAGCAAGACCCTTGGGCTGGCTTTGAAGCACTGAGGAGGGATTCAGCTACAACAACCACAACTTGTGCTTCTTTCCAGAGTGTCTGTTGTCTGATGGCCCACCATGCTGAATAACACTTGCAAGAGCTGCAGTTGCCTATTGTAGGTGTCCAACCTCCATGATTATGAAGGCAGGTAAACCTTCTAACCAGGTGGGGGTTGGTCTCTTCTCTCAGGCACTCAACAATAGGACAAGGGGGCACGGGCATAAGCTCTGCCAGGGGAAATTTAAGTTGGATATCAGGAGAAAATTCTTTACAGAGAGAGTAATCAGGCATTGGAACGGGCTGCCCAGAGAGGTGGTGGATTCACCATCCCTGGAGATTTTTAAACGCAGATTGGACGTGGCACTGAGTGCCATGATCTAGTAAATGGACTGGATTTGGACCAAGGGTTGGACTCGATGATCTCGGAGGTCTTTTCCAACCCAATCGATTCTATGATTCTAGAATCTGTTGCTGTTACCTGGTAGTGAAGGATCCTGAATGGTGTGACCGTGGAATGGTGATGGAACTAAGTGGGAGATCTGAGGGGTTTGGGTTTAGCTCTTGACTCTGATCTTCACAGAGGTCTTGGACTTCGGCAAATCATCCAGGTGTTTAAAAACCTTTTGCCTCCTGATTTCAGTAGCATTTAGGTGTGGACAGATGTGGAACTGGACTTTGGTGTTTTGTTTCAGTAACTGTAAGAGAGGGGAAAGAAGCAGCTACATCAAAGAGGTACTTGTGAGGATAAACATTTAAAATTATGAGATACTCCGGGGCTTCATCCATGGTTGTATCCTGAACAGTCAGGGAGGGCATGGGCCCAATGTTTTAAAATTCCTAGAGCAGTGCAAAGACAAATTGTGCTAAGAAGCATGAAGGTAAATTCATTTAAATGTTACCAGATGCTATCAATTATTAGTATATCACCATTACTAGAAAAAAATTACAACTGACTAAAGGGAAGATAAAGGGGCGTGATCTGGAATACTCTATGGTCCAGGAAAACACAAAATAAGGCAGCAAGAAACCAAGACACTGTGGCGTGCCTTTAGGATGATTCTCTTTGCAAAAACATGATTCTAGGCTTTAGAGACTTTGGGAAGAGTTTCTAAACTCTGGGACACACAATGGCACTGTTTTTAAACATGACTGCCTCTCATAAACACTCAGCTGTCTGCCCCTTTGCCACAGGTTCACTTGGAGCAAAGGCTGCAGGGTGAGGATATGTAACTGCAGCTTGGTTGCTTGGGCCATGGGTTTGGTTTATGCGTAGAAATTCATCTTTCTGCATGGAGCTGGTCTGCTCAGCTGCTGCAGTTGAAGTTTGAATGCACCTTCTCTTCTGCTGTCCCGCGAGATGGACTTCTGGAGCCAGCAGTGCTGTAGACCTCATGGCTCAAACCACCAGGACTTATCTCTTAAAGCCCTGGGGAAAGGGCATCAGAGCTTCCTAGATAATCACCTCCAAATTAGCTGTCAGTATAATAGTATAATTAATGAGGGCCAGCAAAGAACTTGGTTGTAGAAAAGGAGAAATATTAACTAAAAGTAGAGAAAGTATTTTGATTAAAGTCTTTTCTATTAGTAAGGCTGATGCTTAAATACTCTGTCCAGTTCTAATGTTCTTGATTGAAGAAGATGAAAAAATACTAAAACGAGTCTTAAGGAGGACCATAAAAATTATCCAGGCCTGAAGAATAAGCCATAAAATGTGTTTCAGTCTATTCAGTTTGCTAAAGGGAGGTTGGAAGATCATTATTTAGGAGCTGACAAATGGAAAAATAGCTGAAGTGGAGAAGATGTAAACCTTGCGAACAATACTACTGGGTGACTGGAAAAAGCAGTGAGATGGTACTGGGAAGTCAGGTAGTCCCAAATGATGTTCTTCCAAGATTAGGTGATGAATCTAGAAGAATTAGAACACTTGATAAAAACTGCACTTTAAAATGACCAAAGGACCACAGTCTTCCACCTGGGTACTGTGGTGTCTTCTGATATCCTCTTGAAAGGTTTTCATTTGAGTAGGTCATCACTTGGAAGATTTATTTTGCAATAGCAATAAATATTTAGCTGATTCATTTGGAATACAGTCACTTGATTGCAGAAATTAGAGGGAAATAAGTTATATATATCTATATATACCTGTGTATTAATTTTCTCATAAAAACTCTTGATTTTAAACCTCTTTCTCTTCCTTCTAGAGATTGCAGTGCATGCATTAGAGCACTGTTCTTGTAATACTAAATTATTGGATGATGTGACATGAAAGTCTTTGCAGGGAAAATGACTGAAAATGAAACTCCTGTAGCTGCAGCACTGTTTGGGATCTAAAATTGTGGTTAGAAAATGATGCTTGCTGTGTTAATCCTACTTATGACTTTACCATGTTTTTTACCAGGTCTACTGCAAATATCAGGTTCTCATTGCTAAATGTCCACATTTGTTTTCTTCCTTTTTTCCACCATTTTTATTTTTATAATACTGCTTTGTTCCCAGATTTTTTTCCTGCCTTCATAGTTCTTAAATATTTCTTTTAATCACATCACTCATTTTTTCTTAATGTCAGTGAAATGGTAACTAGGATTACACTCAGTTAACTGTTAACATAATGTACAATTAACCAGATTACACTGAGCGTTTTAGGATCATTCCACAACAAGGCACCAGGGAGACCATTCCTTGTGTCTGACAATGTATAAACACATGTAGGGCTTTCTGTAAGACTTGTGTACGAAAGGAGAGGGATGTGAAAACAAACTTCATGACAGATGTTAGACACTGTCACATCACTGAAGGTGATGAAGGTGACTGGCATTTGGTGATGTTGCTGAACTGATGGTGAGCAGGGCATACATAGGTGTCCATACAGGATAGTATAGTCTGATGCTCAGCTTTTGGATTTCACCTTGTTACCCCTCTGTATTTGGCCTGACATTTCTCTGGTCCAAACTTCTGAGAGCCATCTACATAGGTGTATTGTGATAGTGTAAAAAATATGGACTTTAAAGAAATGACAAATCTCATTTAGACTCTTAACAATGAAATGTTTACATAGTTCTAAAACATTCAGGCATCTGCCCTGTTGAGGTACACGTTGCTTATCTATTTTATCACATTTTTCATCCTGTTAGTATTAGTGACTTCTAGTGTTGCCAACTCCAGATGTTGTGACACTGTCCTCAAAATCGTAAGATTTTTACAACATAATAAATTTAGAGTTACTTTAGTTTCCTTTATGACTTCTGAGATTTTGGAGTATGGTCAGGTTGCATTTCACATTACTCCCTGTAACAGTCAGAGTTAGAAAACGTTTAGCAGTTTTTAAATGAAAACTGAGGTGGCCTTTGGGAATCATTTGTAGCCACGTAACTTGCAGTCAGCCATAAAAGAAGGTACTCCCAAATGGAGGAGGTAAGCAAAGTTCAAAGACCAAAATCCAGAGTTTTAAACCTAAAAATTCCTGCTGCCTAACCCTAGGGGTAACTACAAGCTCTGCAGATGCCTTAGTTTTTGACATTTCAGAATACTCCTGTCATCTTCAGCTATACATCTGTGTGTGCCAGACCCATCCCTAGCTTACATTTAAACTTGTCTGGGACATAGAAACCAAGTATTCCTTTACCAAAATCCACCAAGTGGCTTTTTTCAGAGTATGCCTTACAAAGAAAAAAAGAGGTCTTAAGTAAATCTGAATACAAGACTTAAGGTCAGCAGCAGTTTTCTGTTTTTTGCAAACCGTGTAGCACCACAAGATCTTAACACTGTCAAAAATGGTGGGGAACGAGGATTTGGATGG